TATATATATATATGAGCTTAAAATTATTTGTGCCACTGTTAACTGTTTGGCCATAAACATTATAAATTAGAAACTGTGAATAAACAGTTTTATTTGGCATCATTAAAGACATTTAATCACCAGAGAAGTCAACTAACTGTCAATTAGTAAATAAATGAAACAGCTGATAATTTATCTGCTGTGCTGAAATTCCAATGAATTTCTTTTCTCTATTGTTGAGACTCTGTTTAAAACACATCCTTTATTAAATTTATATTTTAAACACTATATTGTTACAGACCATCTTAGATCTGGAACACTGTAAATGGACAGAAGGGATTCTGCTGTTCTGGATTAGCTGCCTTCTCCACCTGCTCAACACAAAGCTGCTTCCCCTCCTACTCCTCCTCCTCCTCCTTCTCCTCCTCCACCTACTCCACCATACCCTTATCCTTTGTAGTAACTCACGCTACTTCCTCACATGTAACCTCCTGTCCTGGTCTGTAAACACCTGTAGGTGTCAGTGTAAGCACAGAACACAGAGAGTCTGACAGTTGATTGCAACGCATCATAGACTGAAGGAAGGGGCAAAATGTAAACCGGACATGTATAATGTGCATCTGCTTTGCCTCTAATTTTGTTCCCTGTGTCTTTCTCTCCTTGTCCACACAGAGGCAGCATGTCTCTGTTCAAAGCCCGCGACTGGTGGTCGGCATCCCTGGGCGAGGGGGAGGAGTTTGACCAGGGATGTCTGTGCGTTGGCAATGTAGACAACAGTGGAAATGGACACGGTCAGTGTGTAGAGAGGAGGGGGAAACGTGACAATGTTGATGTTTGTGTTTTTGAATTTTTCTCCTTACAAGGTTTAATTTGTTTTTCAATCAAGGTCACATTGATGGTGAAAACTCTTTTGAAATGATTTGTCTTGGTCTTATTTTTTATATCACAAAAACCTGGCATTTCAACAGGGGTGTGTAGACTTTTATTTCCACTGTATATTTTAGCCTGGTCATTTAAGTAGTAGCTCCCAGGCCAAAAAAGCGTGGACACCCCTGGTCTGGGGTTTACAAAGCATTTTTCGATTTAAAATAAAATTGTTGAAAGGGACTAAGGGGAGACCTGAGCTTATTATACTCTGACTCTAAGTATCTGTTATTACAAATGTGCAGCATCAAACTCTGATGACGCCTAAAGTGTTCTTCAACATGTTGACAATTACTCTTACTGAGTCACTGCAACATGCACTCTCTTAAATATTCTATAAGACATGTAGCATTTTACAATATTATATAATGTATAACAAGTATTTCAGGTACTTTTCATGTAATTAAATACAGTATTGTGCAGATATTGTGTAGTATATTATCTATTGCATACCTTGTTCTAATACCTTTCTCATGGAATCACCTTATTAGACTATTTAGTTTAAATATGGTCCAGTACTGCACATACAAAATGGACAGAATCTTGCTTGGTGGGAAGTTGTGGTGCTTGAACAGGTTTGTATGTGGCCCACAACAACATTTGTACAGCGAGACAATCGGACATGTTGCTACAGTAGCAGTCGGCCCGAAGATATTTATTTTGGTACTCTTTGTATTTAACTCATCTGTTCAACACTCCAGGGATTTACACCAGATACACAGCAGCAGCGGGCTGCACTTTAGTAATGCACCCAGGGAGCAGGGGAGTTTTGGTACTTGCTCAACACACCACAGTCTTGCTGGTCTCCCGATTCTCACCGAGCTTTTGACCACTAAACCACGGTCTGCTCTCTATTTAAGTTTATACATTAGACCTTAATTAAAAACCTTTAAAACCTAACCACATTGATAAATGTTGGCCCAGACGTGTATATTTTAGTTTATTTCCAGTGTATTTTGTTTAGTTTTCTGACTCTGTATATTTTGTATGACTTCCACCAATAAGATCCAGTTCCAGTAGTAAGAAAGTTAAAGAAACAGTATTACTAAACTTGAATGCATCAAAGACATAACAATTTGGAAGATGCGTCAAACCTGCCACGTTGATGGGATTTTTCTGACGTTATAGAGGTACCTCGACAACCTTTGGTAAAACGGCGCCATCTGCGGGATTGTTGTAGAACTTTGATTGTAAGACGTTATGCAAGATGTAGTATAATCATATTGCAAAATAAATAAATAAAAAACATCAAAACAAAAGAACCTAGTTAATGAGTAATTGTACAAATATACAGTTGTACATCCATTTTCAACAAAATACAAACACCCATGTGACCCTCCCTGACCAGCTTGGTTAAAATTGAAGATTGTAAGGACTTTCCAGCAATAAACCTCTGGAAATATATTGTTAGGAATGAGGTGATAAAAACCTTATACATACAGTTACATGTCAACGTGTGCCATTTTCTCTCCTTTACCCTGTGCAGACAAAGTTGTGGTGGGCAGCTACATGGGAATGTTACGGATCTTTGCACCTCAGGCCAGTAAGTCAGGTGAGGGAGGAGTCACGGACACCCAGCTCCTGGAGGTCCAGCTTCAGAACGCCATCATCCAGGTGGAAGTGGGCAAGTTTGTCTCGTGAGTAAATCCATTCATACTATTCTGTTCTGCAGTTCACGGGTTTGGACCAATGTATGAAACAATTTAGACGTTGGGATTAACTTCATGCAGAACAAATTTAAAATTCAGTTTTGAAAACACAACAACTGATGTCACAATTTATTCTTGTTGACTACAACAACAATACTTTAAAGACATGGATTGGTTTTTGCTGACTATCTACACTATAAACAGTAGAATCAGATAGTGGTTTCTCTTTTATTTATTTTATTATTTTTGTAACTGATGCTAGATCAAACTTTTTCTACTCTGTACTACCTGAGAAAACATTGAGCTCTCAGAGTACCACCATGAGGACCAACATTAGAATATAGCAGCATAGGCCTTCCCTGTTAGCTTCCACCACAGGAGAGATGTTTAGAAATGTTTAGAAAGATGTTTATGTTTAAGTGTTGTATTCATTGTGCATGGTATGTTTCAGATTTATTTAATTGAATATGTAAATGTGAAAATATGAATTTTCCCAGCGTACCACTAGAGAGCGCTCACGTACCACTGGTGGTGGTAAAAGTCGACCTGTTCCAGGCTTTCTTCTAAGATGGGGTTCTAAATTAAATGTCTTCTACGGTAGTATATTCTACCTTGGAGCACCTTTAAAATATGTGACTGTTAGCCAGTCAGAGGTCAGGTCTCTGTTGTCCATATCTGAAGGTGAATATGTGCATTCATGGAGAGGCTTATAATATTGTCTTACTGAAAACTACCAGGCTGAAACACCCATCCATAATTCACCTCGCTCCTTTTTTACTAGTGGAAATAACATCCGTGCTGTTATTTACCACCACATTCACATGTTCTGTTTTTTCTCTTTTGCTTCTCACACTGAACCCAAAACCACTGTCAGGAGTTTCTCTCTCTCCTATTGATTTATCACAGCCTCTCAGCCACCCAGCAGTCCACACATAGTTCCACTCATAACATCAGGCTAACCACAGAGTGGCTAGCATGTGTTATAGCGACGCATGTTTGCATCCGAAGAGTTGACCTTGCTGAGACAAGGTCAGCGAAATGACTTGGTTTTGGGAGGAGAAAATGATTCATTGACCTCTCAACAGCCAAAATAATTCAAATTGGTAGAGAAGGAGAACAGTGGGAGGAAAGGAATGATGCGGTGACAGTGACACGACTGTGGAGAATTTTATTTATCTCAGCTTTGCATGGAAGCGAACGCTCTGAAACTTAATCGATCCAGTGTTTTTATCTGTGTTTGACAAAACATCTGAAGGGCATCGTAGTAAGATTCTATAACGACTCGCCCATGATGTGTGTGTGGGTATCCCTCTGGAAGCCCACCTTCTCTGAGACCCTGCCAGTCTCTGTGTGTGACAGTTTGGAACAACTAGCGGCCAGAAAATGAACCTTATAATCTCTACGTCTGTTTAATTTCACATTAACCAAAGAATTTGTTAGCGGCTCAGTGACACACATGTGGCAAGTCATGACAACTTCCCGACATCTTTAATCCAAAAATGATCAGTTCTCTCGTGACTTTGGTGTGGGTGGATGTTCAAGAAACATGGTGACACAAACGTTAACTTCCAGTAAGGCTGTCAGGATGATTTAGATTGACTTATCAGCGCAGCCTAGTGTGGTCACGCCACTGCCACTGATATATTGTTTCTCATAAATTATCGCAAACTCTTATTTTTTTTGCACCGCTCCAACTGAAATTGTGAAGCTCCATGACAGTGTTTTATGACAACCTCCTAAAAACACCTTTTACGGGAAAACACACAAGTATCATTCAAGGGTCAGTCAAAAAGTTATGAGCATATGTTTGAATTTTAAAAGGCGTTTGATTTTAATGAATAGGAAACAGCTCATAGATGAGTGTTTTTATTATAACTCTGTCAAATCTTATAATAAGTGTTGACACCTTGTATATCGGTTGTAGGACTGTAGTATTTCCATGGGTTTTGGTTCACCTCAGCCAAAACCCATGGAAATAAGTGTTGATTTTATCAGTGTTTTTATTGCTCAAAAAGACATGTTAGATTCCTAGCAATGAAGCCAAACTCCAATGAGAACCTGTTAAAGTAGTACAGTAGTACATGAGATTTTCCCAACCTTTTGAAACAACTTGATTAACTTGATTCCAGACTTAGATGAGGCCAGAATATTTCTAGACAGATGCCTCAGGGGCCGGACACTCAAATAAAATAAAATAAAATGTACATTTTTGTCCTCATTTGATGTTTTTTCTGGAATTCAGTTGCGGGCCATAATGAACGGTTCACCAGGCTGGACTTGGCCCGCAGGCCCCCAGTTGATGATGACTGGTCTAGCAGATGGCACCCTAGGTGACCGACAAAGTGGCCAACGCCAAAAGCCGGCTCTGCTCACAGTCCAGTGCTGTGGTTGGTGTGTGTTTTACAGCATGACATCTCTAGTTTCCGGCCATAAAAAGCTGCTCAACGGTGAGATGAAAACACCGACATTCCTCAGTCACTCTGTACTGCTGATGAGAATCATACGGTTAAAAATACAAATTAAGTATACGTCTCCGACAGCAGGTAACTGATCTACCAACCCAGGTGGTGACTCTGTTTTTTTTTTTTTCACCGATGTACACGTTGAGCCTCCCACTGCCTTGGTGTGGGTGAACAGAAACCTCCCTGAAAGTGAGCTTTCTGGGAAAAGCTCCGGTGGTTTGCCCCGAAGGCTTCCCATATCATCACGCTGAGAGCAGAGCCCGACTAAATCAGTCCTTTTGGAAGACCTTGTGTTTAGTTACCTGTGGTTTTCCGCATATAATTCTTCAGAGGTTGGTGCACAATTTGGAAGGCGGCCTGGACAGATGAACATGCTGTAAATATTGTCAGGGCAGACCGAGGTTGGCAGGTTTTATTTCAGCACTCAGTTGAGTTTTTTTCTTTTTTATAATTTTCAGCCAAGTGGAAAAAACTTGTGGGATCCATTTTTCCTGCCTTGTTGTTTTTCTCACAACAAACATTACAACAGTGGTTAAACACTGAAAATGCTGCATCTGTTCTGAGTCCAGACACCGGTCACATTCCACCAGTGGTTAGTGGTGAAGTAAATAAGTGAAGATCCCGGGCTCAGCATCACTGAGAACATCATTTACACCTCAGCCACAACCCATGGAAATACTTCAGTACTATGACTGATATACAAGGTGTCAGATGTAGTGAAGGAGGATAATGAATCTGCTGTGTATTACCTTAGTTTTCTATCTAAAACATAAGAGTAGACTGGAATGTCTTCACTGGATTTTGAAGTTACTAATATAATTCTACAAGAACAAAAATGAGGACACTTCTTAGTGCGGTTTTCAAGTTGGTAAATACTGCTGAAGTGTTTGTGGGTGTACAGTAACTGCAAGTGTCAGGTCGTCTGGATAAGATACTTTATTGATTCCACAATGGAATGAGATGATGAAGAGTTTTATTACTACGATTACATTTTAGGGAAAGTACTTTCCCTAGAGGATTTCATGAATCTGACATGTGAACACTGTTGATCAACTCTTTGTCTGTTTTGTCCCCTTCTCCCAGATGCTCAGATCTTCTCCACTTGGCTGTTCTCCACCCCAGGAAACTGTCAGTGTACTCTGTCTCAGGTAAACTGCCAATAAGTTATACCAGACCTATGGCAACACGTTGGTCTAGGTGTATGATTCTCACTCAGGCTGGCAGGTCCAGGGTTCAAATCCTGTAAAAGCCACTAGATTTTTGATCTTAAAAAACAGTACATTATTACATGTCGTTATTACAAGTGTCTGCTAAATGCATACATGTAAATCTACCCTTTATAACTATTTTCTCATATTTGGTGACTTGTTTCTATCATTTATGTCATATTTTTCTAACCAGGCACTGCAGGAAACGTGGAACATGGTGACCAGTACCAGCTGAAGCTGGTTTACGAACACAATCTGAAGAGAACAGCCTGCAGTATGACCTACGGCACCTTTGGTGGAGTAACTGGTATGATGATTGTTGAATATCAACACACTTTAAGTATAATATTTTCTAGTTCTTTTAACGCACTATATGTAGAGTGCTGCACGAGCGCGGAAATATCTACAGAAAAGAGAAAGGTTTAGAGTAAGAGAGGAAGACAGAGAGGGGGAGTAAGAGAGAGCAGAGATACAG